ATGATTTTTGGCGGATGGAATCAAATTTCGTAATTTTAAAATGTCATCATTTATGATATTAATAACAATAGTTGGGTAGATCCAGAAATATCACATGAAATACCTAAGTGGAACATGGCAGGTATTATGGTGCCATCTATTCCATCTTGGAAATATTTCATTTTTGGTGGACAAGTTGGTAACTTTGAAGAAGGTGGTAACAGAACAGCAAGTAGATTGGTAGATGATACTTTTGTATTGGATGTAGATGCTAAGAAATGGTCACCTGTCTAATTAGAAGAAGAGAAACCAGTCAAACCCAAGACTAGAGAATCAACTACTTTAATTTATGATCCATAAGATTCTAGAATTATGATGTTTGGTGGATGGTCAAATGCTTGGATGAATGATATGTATGCATTGAATGTCTCATCAATTGTTGGACCTCCATATGCTATCTATTCAATTAAACCATGTTTGGGTCCATTAACAGGAAAAACCAAAGTGTCTATTACAGGAGATGGATTCAGAGATTCATAAAATATTATCGTCAGATTCTTTTCAGGAAAAGCTTAAGAGGATGTTCCAGGAGTATATGTTAGTCCAACTGAATTAACTTGTGAAACGCCTTCATATGAAAAACATGGAGCTAGAAAATCTGAAGTTAAAGTTAGTGTGGATAAATTAGATTTCACTATTATGAGTCAATTCTATTCCTATTTCTTAAACTCAAAGGCTGAAAAGACATTAATGTTCGGACCAGGAGTGTTGAGAGAAAATGCAATAAAAAATGATACTATGTTCTACATTCAAACAAGAAATTTAAATAATTAAAATAGAGAAAGTGGTGCTGATGAATTTTAAATTGAAATCACTAGACCTGATGTTTTAGCAGAATTGGAAGAGGAAAGATAAAGAGAATCAATCAGAATATAATAATTAGAATAGATGGATCCTGAAGAGAGAGAAAGAATTGAATAAGAGTCTCACAAGAAAAGAATTGTTAAGAGAAAGAAGGTGAAATAACAATAAG